ATATGTTATGTGTTAATGTTATGAGTTCATCGGTAATGGTCGCTGCTGAATTGATTTAACAGTTCAGCACAAACTTGCATTAACACCGCTGACCTACATAATTGCTCACGTTTCGACACTGATAGCGACTGCAAGTGGAAAATATTTTAATGTCATACCGGTTTATTGAAGTTGCATAGAGTCGCACGCATGGGATACCCCGTGTACACGTGATGTACCTTCCCTGCAGTGTCAGAGCGGGTTGGAGGAAAACCCTTGACCTCTCTTTCTGCTTTCCAACCCCCAAAGCTCTTTATGGCTTTTTAAAGAGCACTACTCCCTCTGTTGACATGCCATATCACAAGAAACCAAGAGCAAAATGTTCTTGCATAGCATTTATTGCACAAGTTGTTCATTAAGCAATGTTGTCTGAGGCATTTCTTTTAAATGCTTCAGGAGAATTACAAATAAATACCAATAGAAAGGGCACAGTTGAGTAAATTGCTTGGAAATAGTTTGTGACTTGCAGGTGAAGTCAGAATTATTAGCCCCCCTGTATATATATTTTTTTTATTTTCACCCAATCTCTGTTTAACGGAAAGATGATTTAGTTTAATCACATTTCTAGACATAATAGTTTTAATAACTCATTTCTATTAACTAATTTATTTTACCTTTGTCATAATGACAGAACATAATAATTGATTTACTATTTTTTAAGATACTAGTATTCAGCCTAAAGAGACATGTTCATTTTTGTCATGAGTGGCAGTTTAAATGTCCACATTCTTCAAACAGAAGCTCACAGAATGATTTCAGGTGGTTTGTCAAGCCCACTCACCTGCATGAACAGGCCCAGATTGGCTAATCAGGAGCACAGAGAGAATTCCCAGTGGGCCGGTCTGTTTTTTGGCCGCGAGGGCCGGTGTCCCTAGCTGCTTGCACTCTCAGCAGTTGCACTTTTTATTTATTTATTTGACCATAGCCACACTATTTTTATTCATCATTTTGCGGCAGCCCCGCTCTTTTTATTTATTTTCTCGCAGCCCCGTGAGCAAAATGCAGCCCGCAGGTTAATGATGATCCAACAATAATTCCACCCCAAACAGTAGCACCTTAGTGAATATTAATTAATATTAATGAATATTACTCCTGCTCAATGAAAATCAGATGATTCACTACATTAATAAATCTGACATAACTTGATCAGAAATCTAAAAAGAGGAGAAAAAGAGTAGACATCAATAGAAGCAGATAACAGTGCAATACGTATTCTTTATAACGAACACATAACCTTAACAACCCCATCTTGGTCTAGTGGTTAGCATATTGCATTACAACGCCGCCGATCTGAGTTCGAACCTCACCGGACATTTTTAGTGTTAAGACATAAAATACTGTTTGGGTTATATGTAGGGGTAAATTTCAATCGTTACAAAGGACTGGATATCTATAAAGAATTAATGTTCTCATATTTAGGAAAAACATTTGAAGTTCTAAAGCAGCTGTGTCCTTGAAAAAGACGTGTTAATGTCATTAGAAACTGAATTGGAAATAACGTTATTTTAATATAGGCAGTCGTCGACTGAGGTGGGCCGTAGTGATGGGAAGTTCGGATCATTTTACTGACTCAGATCTTTGAGTCTCTTTCATCAAGATGAACGAATCTTTTCTTCGAGTCATTTCGTTCATTTGGTTCAATTTGCCAAAATATTATTAAAATGTTACGAATTGCTTCCAAACACATCTACAACTAACCCAAAAGGTTGATCACACGACAAATGTCATAACTAGAATACTATAAGAAGGAGAAAATAATAATTCAATGTTTACCTGCTCTTTTGTCTATGAGGGCATGTTGTCTCTTTGCTCAGCTCACCTCTTCATACCTTTAAATGTCAGGGGTTCTTTTACGTTACACTGACAGTCACATATAATCTTAATCAATGCACAGTCTGAGCCGATAGGAGCCATGATCGTTCGTTGTTTACGTGACAGAATGACTCAAACCCGAGGAGTCGAGAGATGAGCGGTTCAATTCTTTTTCCGGCTCTAAACATGTATGATTGGCCTGTGAGGAACGCGTGACTCGGACCCGATAGAGGACTCGAGAGACGAGCGTGTTGTGTACTGTGGCTTCAGGTGTAACGCATTTTGAGCCTTATGATGTTCCATATGGGACGCTCAGCGAGATCCTGCGTCTGCGCAGTATGACATTGTAGCATGTCTCCTGTATATCCGCAATATTCAGTAAAGAGTTCTGTTGCATAAGTTTTGTGTCCGTGTCATCGCTTAAGTGCAGCGCACTTACATCCATGAGAGATGTAACAAAACTGGCGACGAGGATAAACGATCTTCCGCGTCACTCAAAGACGCCTGTTATTTAGCCTATGTTAGCAACACGCGATTGCTAACGGAGGGAAAATCATTCACGAACAAAACGAAAATAAAAAAGTACAACGGCCGCACATCACGACGACGACACACATCGGCGCGGGAAGGAAAGAAAGCAACAACAACAAAAAGCAGCGTGAGTAAAAGAAATAAAAGAAGACTAAAGGAAATGGCTGGTCTAGTAGGGCAAATCGGCTCTTATGATGAAACTGTAGAGCAATGGAGCTCATATACTGAGCGATTTGATTATTTCGTTCAGGCTAACGGAATAAAAGATGAGGTTTTAGTACCAACTTTCCTCAGTGTAATGGGCAGTAAGACGTATAATTTATTACGCAGTCTAGTCCAGCCAGATAAGCCTGGTGATCGCTCATTTAAGGATATTGTAGCATTGCTGCAAGAACATTATGCACCGAAACCCCTCATCATTGCTGAAAGATTCCGCTTTCATAAACGTAATCAGTTAGAGGGAGAATCAATTGCACAATTTGTTGCTGTATTGAAGCGATTATCAGAGCACTGTGAATTTGGTACAACACTGAATGACACAATAAGAGACAGATTTGTTTGTGGCCTACGTAGTGAAACAATACAAAAAAGACTTCTTTGTGAAAGTAATCTCACATTGGAACGTGCAATGGAAATCAGTGTATCCATGGAAATGGCTGCTAAAGAAGCACAAGAGTTAAGCACATCCAGTCATGTAAACAAAGTGTACAGTGAGAAAATGAAACAGGAGCCTAAGAAAGCATGCTACCGCTGTGGAAAAAGTCGTCATTCAGCACATGAATGCTGGTTTAAAGATAAAGACTGTAGAAATTGTGGAAAAAAAGGGCACATCGAGCGTGCATGCCAAAGTAAAAAGCTGATTGCAACAGGGAAAGTAAACTCATCCAAACTTACTGAACCTAGGAAAGATTATATCAGGAAAACAACGAAGAAAAATGTAAATCAAGTGGAGAATACAGGAAAAGAAGAATATGAATCCGATGAAAATGAGTTCTCACATATTATGTCTGTGTCTTCAAACTCTGATGGGTACTGGGTAACACCACTGCTGGAGGGACAGGCTATTCCCATGCAAGTGGACACAGGCGCAGCGGTATCACTGGTGGCAGAGTCGACGTACAGAGAAAAATGGCCACACCTCCGACCTAAGGAAACAAACCTAACCCTGAAATCATACACTGGAGAGATGGTACCTCTTTCAGGAGTTGTGGACATAACTGTGGAGCTAAATAAACAGAAGGTAAAATTACCATTATATATTGTGAAAGGAAGCAGCCACACAGCATTAATGGGCCGAGCATGGCTAGAGAAAATAAAGCTAAACTGGCAAGAAGTGCACTTAATCGCAAAAGAGTCTACCAGTTTGCAAAACATTCTGAGAAAGCATGCAGAGGTGTTCAAAGAGGAACTAGGAAACATGAAAGACATTACAGTAAAGCTGGTCATTAAACATGACAGTAACCCAAAGTCCTTGAAAGCGCGCCCTGTTCCTTACGCAATAAAGCCGAAGGTGGAAACGGAATTGGCCCGCTTGGAGGAAACCGGAGTACTTAAGAAAGTGAGTGTGAGTGAGTGGGCCACGCCCATTGTTCTGGTGTTAAAAAAAGATGGAACTGTCCGAATTTGTGGTGATTTTAAAGTCACGGTCAATCCTGTGCTAACTGTAGAACAGTACCCCTTGCCATTAATCGAAGATCTTTTTGCTGGATTATCAGGGGGTCAGAAATTCAGCAAAATAGATTTATGTCAAGCTTACCTTCAAATGCAGGTAGATCCTGTTTCACAAGAGCTGCTGACCATTGTTACTCACAAGGGCCTCTACCGATATCAGCGGCTACCATTCGGGATAACTTCGGCTCCAGCACTGTTCCAACGGGCCATGGACCAGATCCTGAGTGGTTTGAATGGAGTACAATGTTATCTTGATGACCTGTTAATTACAGGAAAAGATGATGAGGAGCATCTCAGGAACTTAAATGAGACCTTGCAGCGGTTAAAGGAGTATGGTCTTCGGGTCAAGAAAGATAAATGCGAATTCTTTCAACCTACCATCGAATATCTGGGACATGTTATCGACAGCACTGGTCTCCACACAGCACCATCAAAGGTAAAGGCTATTGTGGATGCACCATCTCCAAGGAACATAAGCCAGCTGAGGTCTTTCCTAGGGCTCCTAACATACTATGCAAAGTTCATGCCAAACCTGGCCAGTACGCTTCGTCCTCTACATGAATTACTGAACAAGTCTAAACAATGGGTATGGTCTAACAGATGCGAAAAGGCATTCAAAGATGTGAAAAGTGTATTGACACAATTCAAGGTCCTCACACATTACAACCCTTCTTTACCCATACAGTTGGCATGTGATGCGTCTCCATATGGCGTTGGCGCCGTACTTTCACATGTGATGGCATCCGGCGAAGAAAGACCAATCGCTTTTGCATCAAGGACTCTAAACTCTGCTGAGAGTAATTACGCACAAATCGAACGAGAAGCTTTGGCAATTGTATTTGGTGTAAAAAAAGTTCCACCAGTACTTGTTTGGACGTAAATTTACTCTGCTCACTGACCACAGGCCACTTACATCTATCTTTGGCGCTCAAACAGGCATTCCCTCATTGGCGGCAAACCGCATGCAGCGCTGGGCTCTGCTATTGTCAGCGCATCAGTATGACATCAAATACAGGAGATCTGAACATCACTGTAATGCAGATGGACTGTCCAGGTTGCCTCTGCCAGACACGCCACCTGAGGGCAGTCAAGCTGACATCTTCTACTTCAAGGAAGTGCAAAGTGCTCCAGTCACGGCGGCTCAGGTTAAACGATTCACTAGAACTGACCCAGTTTTGTCAGAAGTTTTGACCTGGATCTCTCATGGTAAAAGAGGAGAGATGACAGAAAACTGCAAACCCTTTCTGAGTCGGCATGATGAGCTCACAGTACAGTCTGGCTGTATACTGTGGGGTTTTCGTGTCATTATACCCCCACCTCTAAGGAAACTCCTGCTGAAAGAACTTCATGCAGGCCACGCAGGAGTAGTCAGGATGAAAGAGATAGCCCGTAGCTACTTTTGGTGGCCTGGCATAGATGCAGAGATAGAGGAGGAAGCAAGGGGCTGTACAGATTGCCAAAATGTTAGAAACATGCCACAATTAGCTCCCCTGCATCCATGGGAATTCCCAGAGGACCCATGGCAAAGAATACATATCGACTTTGCAGGACCAATAAAGAACCACATGTTTTTGGTGATGGTTGATGCTCACAGCAAATGGCCAGAGGTAGCCATTATGAATGGCACATCTTCCGAGAAAACCATCGAAGAGCTCAGATCGGTATTCAATCGTTTTGGCATACCACAGCAGCTTGTAAGTGACAATGGCCCCCAATTCGTGTCAGAAGAGTTCCAGTCCTTCCTACAAATGAATGGTATACGACACATCAAATCTGCACCATACCATCCATCTACAAATGGTCTGGCTGAACGTTTCGTACAGACTCTAAAAAAGGCTCTGAAAGCATCGCAGGATAAGGGTTCCTTAAATCAAAGATTGCATACTTTCTTCTTGGCTTATAGGAATACACCACACGCAGTCACAAAAGTCTCTCCTGCTACAGCATTGTTGAAACGTCAACTACGAACCAGACTGGACCTGCTGAGACCATCTGAAACCAAGCAGATTGTCTCCTCACAACAGCAAAGGCAGGTGGAGCGGCGGTGTAAAGTAAAACACAGAAGTTTCAACAGGGGTGATTGGGTTCTTGCTCGTAATTATGGGAAAGGATCAAGGTGGGTACATGCAAAAATTCTTGCACAAACTGGTCCTGTCTCATACATTGTTGAAACTAGAGACAAGCAGACATGGAGGAGACATGTAGATCAGATATTGTCTTCAGCAATGCCTAGCGATGACTCTGGTGAGTTGGAGAACCAACAGAAATTCTGCCCTCACATTGACCCAGTGAAGGATGTGGTACATGAAAATTTTCCCACACCGCTTGCTAGGGAGTCACAGGTAATTGCACCCTCTGAGGATACACCTCTTTCACCTGCTACATCAGCAGCTATTACAGACACTTTAGTAAACCTGCCATCTGGTTCTTTTCATCGTTACCCAACTAGAGTGCGGAAACCACCACAGAGATTGGATCTCTAGTTAGAGGCTAACCCACGTCGATGGGGCAGAATAATCCCCAGGGTTTAGCCAGGGAAATGAGGCAGTCTACCCTCTTTCCCTTCTGTTGGGACTTATTGTGTTATATTGTTATGTTCCCTACATCTATTAAAAATATATATAATAATCAACCGAACATATATAGTGTTAACGTACCCCTGAGTGTTAAAGTAAAGGGGGAGGAATGTGTTGTGTACTGTGGCTTCAGGTGTAACGCATTTTGAGCCTTATGATGTTCCATATGGGACGCTCAGCGAGATCCTGCGTCTGCGCAGTATGACATTGTAGCATGTCTCCTGTATATCCGCAATATTCAGTAAAGAGTTCTGTTGCATAAGTTTTGTGTCTGTGTCATCGCTTAAGTGCAGCGCACTTACATCCATGAGAGATGTAACAGAGCGGATCAATTATTTTTCCGGCTCTAAACACATATGATTGGCCCGTGATGAACGAGTAGTGACTCAGACCCAATAGAGGACTTGAGAGGTGAGCGGATCAATTCTTTTTCCGGCTCTAAACGTGTATGATTGGCCCGTGAGGAACGAGTGACTCAGACCCGATAGAGGACTCGAGAGGTGAGCGGATCAATTCTTTTTTTGGCTCTAAACGTGTATGATTGGCCCGTGATGAACAAGTAGTGACTCAGACCCGATAGAGGACTTGAGAGGTGAGCGGATCAATTCTTTTTCCGGCTCTAAACGCATATATTAGCTTCTGCCAATGTGATGAAGACTTGAAATTAACGATACTACCTGCACAAATGTGCGCACGCGCGGATGAACGAATCACTCCCTGAGAGGACTCGTAGTTCCCGAGTCATATTTAAGATTTGTTCAAAATGAACGAATCGTTCATGGACGACCCATCACTAGTGAGCCGGTCTAAGACTTGAAACTCCAGAGCTAAAAAGGAGTCCCACTCTGGCCCTGTGCATGGAGCACGCTCATGCATCATACCATTATGTGATGCATTGTGTGTTTGCTTTACTAAAGAGATAGGTGTTTAATAGTTTTCAACTAAGTGTGTCTGAGTCTCGAGCATTATCTGGAAGGCTATTCCAGAGTTTAGGAGGCTCAATTTCCTTTAGTAGACTTTGCTATTCTGGATATTACCAGAAGCCCTGAGTTTTGAGATCTTAAAGAGTAGATTGGATTGTAGCAAGAGGATGTTGGATTTATATTATTTAAAGCTTTATAGGTTAGCAATATTTAATTCATACTTAACAGGCAGCCAGTGTATAGAGGATAACATTGGGGTGATATGGTCATTTTCACTTGGTAATTTATATCCAGAAGAATATTTTTGAACCACAGTTATATACACTGGAGAAAAAAAAAAAAAGTGGTGAATCATGAAATGAAAAACAATTTTGGTCATTTTTTTTATTAATTCCTTAAATTTACATGGGTTTATTAAAGGGATAATTCACACAAAATACTTTCAAATTTACTTACAGTTTTCCCCCTCAAGGGGTTCCAAACATTTATACTTTTCTTTTTTTCTGTGGAACAAAAAAAAGATATTTTGAATAATTTTGCAAACTGGTAGCCTTTTAAAGTGGTATGAAAAAAAAAAAAAAACATTCTATGGAAGTCAATACCTACTGGTTTTCCTACATTCTTAAAATATCAGCTTTTTCATCAGCAGAAGAAATAACTCAGTTTTTTTGGGTTAAACTATCCCTTTTTGGGTAAAGTAAATAAAAATAAATAAATAAATAAATTACATTTTAAATAAAATGCAATAAATGTAATTTAATAAAATTGAATTAAAAGTAAAATTAAATTAAATAAATACATAAAGTTTATATTAAATTAAGAATAGTCAGGTGAAGTCAGAATTATTAGACCTCCTGAATTATTAGCCCCCCTGTATATTTTTTTTCATTCCATGTCATAAATGGAAAGATGATTTAATTTCAACACATTTATTTTTGCCTTGATTACAGTAGATATGTTTAGATATGTTTCAACTTTTCACTAGAATCCAGCCTAAAGTGATTTTTGTCATGAGTGGCAGTAAAAATGCAATATCATGTCAACAGTCCACAAACAAAAAGGTCCACTTTTAGAGAAAAAGAACCCCCCTTCACTTAGCTGGCTACAGGCCTGGCATCCTTGTTGGAATATTTTACAAACCTTATAAAAAATGGTCTTAATTCTTAAGAAGGCTTTTGAGAATCCAGACCTTACTGCGCAGTGCTGACGCTTTCCATGTGCCTTCGTTGAGTTTATCAGTGAGTCTTCACCCTAGTATAAAAGAACACCATTTATTTAATGGAAGAACATCATTTATTCACCATTTATTCAGTTGAAATTTTTGGAAGCAGCATTTATAGAGATGAAACAATTTATATCGTTGAACTTAAGAAAAAAGAAAACATTTAAAGACACATCTTAAGATTTTAATTAACAGTATGGGGAGCTGGTTTTACTTTGCTGTTTCTGTGCTTGAATTTGTAACCTGTTTTGACGTTTTTTTTTTATTATTATTATTGTAAAACACTTTGTGACTTAATGTCTGTGAAAGGTGCTACTTACTTTTTACTTATTCAAAGGTAATGCCAAAGACTGTAATTTTAACAGTTAAAATTACTGGATGTGGATAATTGAATAAAAAATGGTCATGTTAATGCTGAAAATAAAGCAGATATAGATCTTTGAAATGATGTGGATGCAATATCTCATATCATTTGGTTTTCGGTTTGACTGTAAATCATTACCATTGAATTTTTTAAGACTTTTAAATCTCTTCTAAAACTCTGAAAAAGGCTTGTGGAATTGCTAGAGCTTGATTTTAGGGGAACACCTACAAGCAAAAGCCCCTGCAGCAGGTTGAACTCCAGGTGCAGATTGAGAATGTAATCATGCTAGCATTTGAAATGAGCAGTTGCCCCTGTCTGTTTTCTCAGCTGGCCAGTTTTGCCGTGTTTAAAACTAAAAGCACCTGTGCTTAGAAGTAAATACAGAGCAAATAAACTTAGCAACTGCTTCCGCACAAAGCCTTTAAAAGCATTGTAGGTCTGCTGCGCTTATTCTTGCTTTTAGTGTTAGAGAGAATTTTAAACTCGAGCCCAATCATAAAAATAAATAAAAAATCAGTAATCAAAGGAATTAATGAAACAGTGTATGTATGCGTAAATGTGAAAATAGAAAGAATAAATAGAACGATAGATTAAATATTAATAGAATAAATATAAGACTGAAGAATGATAGAATGATAGATTAAAGATTAATAGAACGATAGATTAAAGTATGATAGAACGATATATTAAAGAATTATATAAAGACAGATTAAATAATGAAAGATGTGATAGATTAAAGATTTTTAGAAAAATAGATTAAATGAAAGAATAAATGATAGATTAAAGAATTATAGAACGGCATATTCAAGAATGATGTAATAAATGATAGAATGATAGATTTAAGAATTATAGAACGATAGATTAAAAAAACGACAGAATAAATGATAGATTAACTGATAGGACGATGGATTAAAGTATTATAGAACGATAGATTAAATAAGAAAAGAATAAATAATAGATTCAAAATATAGAACGATAAATTAAAGAATGATGGAACAAATTATAGATTAAAAATATAGAACGATAGACTAAAGAATGATGAAAGAAATGATAGATTAAAGAAAGATAGGATGATAATTAAATACTTATAGAATGGTAGATTAAAGAATGCTAGAACAATAGATTAAAGAATGAAAGAATGAAAGATAGATTAAAGAATTATAGAAAGATAGATTAAATAAAAGAAAGAATAAATGATAGATTAAAGAATGAAAGAATGAAAGATAGATTAAAGAATTATAGAAAGATAGATTAAATAAAAGAAAGAATAAATGATAGATTAAAGAATGAAAGAGTGTTAGATTAAAGAATTATCGAACTGTATATTCATGAATGATAGAATAAATGATAGAATGATAGATTGAAGAATGATAGAGCGATATATTAAAGAATTATAAAACAATAGATTAAAAATGACAAAATACATGATAGATTAAATGATAGAATGATGGAAGAATTATGGAACGATAGAGAATGAAGAGTGATAAAATAATGATAGAGCAATGGATTAATGAATGATAGAATGAATAATAGAAGGATATATTAAAGAATAATAGAACAAAATATAGAATGATAGATTTAAGAAGATCGATAGATTAAATAATGATAGAATACATGACAATGATAGACAAAGGATTGATCGAATAATGAATGATAAAAGGATAGATTAAAGAAGGATGGAATAAATGACAGAACGATGATTAAAGAATGATAGAATAAATAACATAATTATAAATAAAAATGATATAATGATAGATTAAAGAATGATTGCATTAAGAATGATAGAATAAATGACAAAATGATACATTAAAGATCGATGAAACAAATTACATAATAAAAGAATGATAGAATTAATTATAAAATGGTAATTAAAGAATAATATTATACATCATAGATATGATGATTAAAGAATGATAGAATAAATGACAATGATATATAAAATAATAGAACCATATTTTAAAGAAAAATAGAATATATGATAAAACAATGATTAAAGAATGACATAATGATAGGTTATTGACTGATAAAATTAAATATAGACTGATAGATTAAAAAATGATAGATTATAATATAGAACGATAGATTAAATAATGATAGAATAAATTATAGATTAAAGAATGACAGAATAAACTATAAAATGATAGATTAAAGAATGATAGAATAAATGATAGAACAATATAATTAAAATGATAAAATGATGGATGGACGGATGAACAATGCTTGGTGAATGGAGTGTTTAGGTACATATACTGTAAGCAGTACTCTTAGCATCTGCAGTCTGACTGATTTTAATCAAAGCAAATGTGAGTGTGTATATAGTCAGCGAGTTCACTGTGGCTGTTTGCATCACAAGTGACTTTTGAGGAAAACTAGATTATGCAATGTGACTTGGCATGACCCTGTAATTTGAGCGATTGCACTAATGTAATTGAATCCTTGGGTCAAGGAACTTTTCTGAAACCTCCTTAGGCAACATAAAAACATAATGAGAGAGAGAAAGAGATACATAATGGCTGCGTCCGAAACCGCCTACTACTCAGTAGGTACTACATTTGAATTTAAACGTACTACCATAGATATATACACTAGATATCTCATAGGGACCCTGAGCATGCGTCAATAGCGCCGCCACATTGGTACAGTGCTCCCAGGACAAATGTCCTTCAACCGCACTAGTCAAGACAGTGTTATTACGTGAAGATGTGGGACTTTAGCGCTGTCTACGGGTGTAGTAACGACCAAACAAAGAAAACAAAGCACAAAGGTAGAACATTTCATAAGTAATATTAAGTTTTAACTTTTTTGTATGTTCTGAACTTTTGTGCTATACAGGTAACGTTATTGATGATAAT